TTTTTTTTTTTTTTTTTTTTTTTTTTTTTTTTTTAGTACCGGGGATTGAACTCAGGACCTTGTGCCTGCAGGGCAGGCAGTAGAACCACTGAGCTAAATCCCCAGCCCTCCAGCCTTCCTTTCATTTTTATTTTCAGACAGGGTCTCACTAAGTCACTAAACTGCCCATGCTGAGCTAGAACTCTGGATCCTCTGCATCAGCTTCCCAAAGTACTGGGACCACAGGCATGCACTACCATGCTCAGTTCAAAAAGTTATTTTTAAAAAACAAATTTCCAAGTTTAGACATGATCCCAAATAAAGCACAGAAATGCTTAGCAAAGCCATGGCAAACCAAGGCAAATACACCAAACCTATAACCATCTAAGTTGTGTGAATTCAAAGAATCCACTTAATCTAATGAAAAGCAAACGTTTACTGAGCATCTAAAATGTTCACAGCACTATGCTACGCTCCATCAAGGATACAGAAATAAATAAAACCCAAACCTGCCAGGGATTTGGCTCAGTGGTTCTGGCGCCTCCCTCACAAGCACAAGGACCTGAGTTCGATCCCCGGTACCAAAAATAAATAAATAAATAAATAAATAAATAATAAAAGTAAAACTGGAGAGCACACAGATAAAAAAATAAAAAAAAAAACTATATTAAAAAAAAAAACCCAAACCTTATCTTGTTAGCCCCTTGTCTTAGTAAAAAGCTTATTAATAAAGAAAAATCAAGGCCGGGCATGGTGGTGCACACCTGTAATCCCAGCACTCGGGAGGCTGAGGCAGGAGGATCGCTGTGAGTTCAAGAACAGCCTGGACTACATAGTGAGTTCCAGGTCAGTCTCAATGACATAGTGAGAACCTGTCTCAAAAAAAAAAAAAGAAAAATCATTTGATTAAATCAAACTTAACTAATATAGGTATGTGTACCTGGAGAAACCCAACAATACTATGAAGTCTTAACCAATACCAGAAATATTGCTGTGGGTTACAACAAACAGAAAACCCCAAAGAAATGGATACATATTGAAGATACACTCCTAAGTGAAATAAATAAGGCACACATGTGTAAATACCGAATAGTTTCTCTGGTGTGAATAATCTGCAATAATACATAAGATCCTAATAAGATTACTGACATTGAGAAATGGGAAGAAAGGAGCTAAAGGTGTAGGGAAGGTGGGATGGGCAGGCAAAGGGTAATAAGGGAAAAGAAAAAAATGTGAGATAATGAAAAGATGGAAATAAAGTGGTTGTAGATGGGGAGGGGAGGAGGGGGTGAAGGGAGGGCAGGGACAAGGGGGAAAACT